CCACGAATGTCGTGCACTCGTCAAACCACAGCTTGTACAAGTAGAACTGATCTCCATGCTGACGGGTCTGGGCCGGAAGCCACCGAATGCCACGTGGCACTGCGTCCTGAGTAATCTGCGCACCCGTCACCGCATGTAGTGGTGATGTATGAGGAAACCGCTCCCACGTCCAGAGCATCAGCAAGGCGGCCCATCCACCAAAGTCACCACCCAGTGAAGAAGATGCCGTCATCTGCAGCGCCGATCTACCCATCTCACGGTACAAGTAGGATAGCACAGCTCCTCCCCAAGCAAACCTCCCCGCTCTGCGCCAATCCTCTACCAAAAGTAGATACTGCAGGTGAACTGAACCTCCAGACCGATCGGAGAACAAGACACCTCCCATCAGAGACAGCGCATACGCTCTAGCAAACTGCTCTGTCGTCTCTGGTGAAGCAGAAAGCGGTAGCTCATCGAAAGTCTCCCTGAGCCAAGTAATCCGGATGACGCCGCCACCAAGATCAGTAGGAGCCTGTCCTAACAGTCGAAGACACATAGCCGACCAGTCCTCGTCTGGTATGTCTACTATGACGGCATCACCGTCGATCGCTAATCCGGTGAGTGTCGCAACGTCCACTAGGGTGATCGTCACCTCACCGAACGGCATGTGAAATGTCGATGTCTCGGGTCTCCAACGCTCTACGAGCGCAGTAATCAAACCCGGATCACCGGTAAGAGGGGCTAGTGGCAGAACACTAGACAAGCCGGCATCGACGAGATACGGCAGGTACAGTGGATTGTATCGAACTAAATTGCCCGTATGACGAATGTGGTATGGTCGATCACCAGCCTATAATTAATTAATGCACAAAACTATATTAATTCAATTCCTTCAATATAATATTCTTAATTTAATCTAATTCTATTCTTAATTTTTATATATCTAAACTAAACTTATTCTAATATAATATTTTTAATTTAATCTAATTCTATTCTTAATTTAATTTAATTCTATTCGTCTTATTTAATTTAATTTAATTCTATTCTATTCTATTTCTATTATACCGCTAATAAAAAAAACTATAGAAATAATTTAATTTAAAAAACTTACCTCATTTGCCCAAACTGCGTCAATCCGATGGTGACCATGCCCCCAAAGAAGTTCCGGATCATTCGGAGCAGTATCGATTGTCGTAGGTGGTGGTCTCATCGAACAAGGATCGATAAGCCTAGGAACTGAAGAAAAAAAATGTTAGACAAAAAAAAAAAAAAGTCGCCGGAAAAAGTCGCCGCCGGCAATACTCACTCCGGTAACGTTCGCCGCCGCCGCTGCCGTCACCGCAACCGCCGCCACGCCGACCTCGCCGGCCTCGGCCTCTTCCTCTGCCGCCGCCGGGGGCCTGCTCGTCGTCCGACATTGCGCCGCCGCTAGAGAGGTGGCGACTTCGCCTTGTGCCGCGCTCCGCCGCCTTGGACTGGGGCGCTGCCGCCTTTCTCTCGGCGTCGCCGCTCTGGTTCTCGGCGTCGCCGCTTTTTCTTGGCGCTGGGATGGAGAGGGAGGAGTGGAGAGGGGAGGTGGGATGGGTCTGGTCTGGTGTGGTGCGAGAGGGGGAGGGGGGAGGAAGGGGGTAAAAAAAATAAACTTGACAGCGACAGCGCCTCGGTCTCGGGCTTTGGCGCCTCTTAAAATTTTTGAAATTTCAGAAGGCGCCAAAGCTCGGGACTGGGGCGCCGTCGCTATCAACAGCGTTTAAAACTGGAATTTCTAAGTCTCGGGCGCCGTCGCCGACTTTCTTCCTAAAAACACAATATTCTTGTAAATAGTTTTAAAACCACTATATTCGTGGTAAATTAAACAAAAACAATATTCATGGAATTAACCCATAAAAACGCTTCAGAATCGCGATTTTACCGATTTTAAGCGATTTTACCCATGTTTTTACCAGTTTTTGTGACTAAGCGACTTTATTTAGAAACTGAAACGTTTTGGTGGCCTGGATACGTAAAAACGTAAGCTTTTACATTTTTATGCGCGATTTTGACTGCACTCTCTGTTTTAACTACGTTTTTACGTTTTTATGCACGATTTTGACCGCACTCTCTGTTTTCACTACGAAACCATCACCACACTAACCCTTTTTCCTAGTTGCGTGCTCTGATCATCCAAGCTCGATCTTGGGCTTGTATTATAATTACTTCATTAACCTCCACCTACTTGTTTGATGTTGGTCCAAACAGACTCGCTCCCACAAAGTCATCAATTCAATGGGTGAATGTCAACATCAGGCGGTCTCCTTTATTTTATGTATGTTGCAGAAGATTTGTCACTGCCATATTAACTACTACTAACTGTGCTTTCTTCGACCGACTTCTGCTTATGTTGGGTTTTTGTCAGCGGTAATTAAGTTGCACGCCCCAGATGGTGATAATAATATAGTTGATCCAGTCCAGATATGCATTTCTAATTATTGATTTGTGATTTGGGGATTAGTAGATGAACGATGGATCTATTCCCCACAAAGAAACAAAGGGGTCACGTAAATAATTCAGCTTTTAGTTAATCGTTAAACGTGCACGTCATTATCTCTCGTCCGATGGAGATTGATTAGGAAACACAAAACTTATGCATGTAACCCTCAAACCAACCCGCATCAAACAAAGAAAGAAAGTATCCATCTTTTTCCAGTCAAATTATTTACAAATGTGACAGACGTGTAGCTACTTGTTTCCTTGTGCTACTTGCATGGTTGTCACGTCTATAACATTGCGCCCGCCGGTTGAATCTGGTTCAATTGGTGTTGATTATTAAACCAGCATGAACACCATCAGTAATGATCGACATGATTGATTTACGAACTCTAAGCAAAACGACGTTGTTTTTAGTGAATTTAGTTAATAAAAAATTAATTTATTATTTTAAAAGTTAAAAGTTGATGTTATTTGTTGGATTCAAGTATGACTATTTAGATACCGATGTTAAATGTTGTATTTAAATATGAGTAATTGTTACTTTTATTTGCAATGTCGTATTTTATTTAAATATGAATATGAACTATAAGAAAATCATCTTCAAATATGTTTATATGTGATTAAATTCATTCGATGTTAATGAGTTTCATATTTCTATATATTTTGTTAAATTTATGTAAATTAATTAAAGCGGTTGTACTATCTGTAGAATCATTCCACTTGATAAATGGGCGCAACAGTGTACTGGTTTGACAATCTCACTACTTGATTGATTGAGGGAGAGAGATAGGGATGGATGGATGGATGGTTATTGTAGTTGGTTCATAATTTCGTTACCCGAATACCAAAACAAAAAATGGAATCTTATCCCGTAATTGACTCCATCTTCCTTTTCCCTTTGCTTTGGTTTTCCAAATCTAACCATGATTTTTTGAGGGAAAATCAATAAAATAACAAACAACAACAAACACCCCTCCTATAATAATTAAATAACAAGAAAGAAACATCCCTCTTTATCTCCCTCTTCCTAATTGTTTCCTTATAATTTATCATAGTTTAAAGAAAGCTTCATACCTTTTCCACCAAGAAATTATCTAAATTATTTTTATCCAAATTTTACCAATAATAATTCCAAACAAAGTTAGGTAGTTGGGACAGTTGGAACACATCACATGGGGTGGTGGAACCTCAGCTGCATTGTTGCCGCCGGTGTCCTTTGATAATTTAATTATTGACCCTCTTCCTCATATGACGAGGCAAGTAATGTCGCTCTGCAATAATTCATCTTCCCAACACCCTGCTTTCTTAAAAATGACCGGCAATCATCATCCAAGTCAAGTAAGTGACAACAGAATGTTTCACTCTTGACGATAATCAATGTAAACTGGATCAATAGGCCGAAATTGAATTCCATGCCGCAGAGATTTTTTCTAAAATCTAAATCTAAATCTCGCTTTTCAATAATAAAAGAAGAGTATATATATGTCGATTAGTTCATACTTCGTAGATAAAAGATAATGTGTTCATTATTTATTAGGAAGAGTGTTGATTACAAAACACATTAGGAGTTGGGATAAACATATTCAATTCATTCCAAGATAATTAGTATAAACGATTATAAATTTTGCACTTAGTAGTTAGTACTTAGTACACAGTCACAACTTGAAAAAAAAAAAAAGTGACCATGTTCAAACTTTAGTTATAATATCATTACAAATTAAACTTTTGTGGCAATTTTGTACAAAGGTCAAAGGATTGGTAGATCAATCATTATTTACAATTCATTCCAATCAAGGCATAATGGCTTTTTTCATTTATCTGGACAATGTGATCGTAACAATGAATGACAGTGAGAGAATTCAATGCATAAAACACGACTTGCGAGTTGCTTTTCATCTCAAATTTGAGAAGGATATTGGGATCACTTTAGAAGATTGTAGCCACGATAGAAGCATAGTTTGTATAGTCCCATATACTTAACCAACACACTACCTGACAACTCATATTTCCTTAGAAGTGGTTAGTGTTGTCTACCTGATGACACGACCGAACTGAAAACAATCACAAACCTTTAGGGGTCGTTTGCTTGTTGGATTTGGGTCATGGATTTGGTACCCAAATCTCAAGTTTGATGGATTTAACATAAGTCCATTGTTTGTTGAAGGGTGCTAAATCCGTGGGGTCCACGGATTTGGTCTTTATTTTGGAACCAAATCTGTGGACCCCACGGACTTGTAAATCCCACATATTGATTTGGGATTTGCAAATCCTTGATGGTTAGTTATTTATTTAACAAATCCATCATCAAATTTATCATGCAAACATTAGACTCAGCAAATCCATAATCCAATAAATCCAACATAAATCCCAAGGTTTTTATTGGCCAAAACCCTCAATGTTCAAATCCAACAAACAAACGACCCCTTAGTTTTTATCGATTCGGTACAATGGAAATCAAATATTAAAAAAACGAACGCTCTTAAACGGCTGATCAGTTGTTGTCTTATAGTACAACTCCTACTAAGAGTAAAACAAAACAGAGTAGAGGAGAATTTTGAATCGAATTGGCTGTCTAATAACAGCTCATATCTACACCCCAAAGAAGCAAATAATTTCACGGGGTGAATGATCTACGGAATCCCAGCAAAACCCTAAAATTTCCAGTCATTTTCCATTATCTAATAATTATAATTATACAGGCGCATAATCGAAGCAGCCATTAACGCCAAATCAGCTGCTTCATCATCCCTTTTCAGTACTCCTCTGCTATGCTAATACCATACTGACACTAGTGGTAGGAATTAGTAATGGCTTCCTGGCTTCCCTATCCCCTTATGGGACAAAAACACAGGGAAACCCAAACCAAAAAAAGGAAGGAAAAGTTGCTTCTTTTTTCTATACCAAACTCAGAGCAGAAGCAGGGAGAACCAGTAAGCCACCCATTCCATATCCACATATCTACACAAAACTACTACTCACATGGCCGCAAGTAAACCAAGCAGCCTTCCCCATGTACAATACACAGAAAGCTGTTGCAAGCCGCAGTCCACTCTATTTACTCTTTCTTTTCTACACGCTCTACCAATTCATTTGCGATTCAGGTTCCTCCTCCACCAGTCATCCATGGATGACCTGCAACAAATTTGGAGAAAAAATCAGAGGTCAGAATTTTGAGACACTGAAACCCATCTGCGGCAGTAGCGATAAAATCCTCGCACCCTTTTCTTTCTGCCCTCATCTCATAACATGGGAAGCGCTTAATTTCCAGAGGAAATTCGTTGATTTTGTATTTGGAAAATGAAGGAAACGATTAAAATAAGAAATTGGGATAAACAGAGCGTCTCTGTTTTTTAAGAACTTACGGAGCACTTGCTCTGCAGAGAACCTCCTGTAGACATCCTTACACAGCATCCTCCTCAGCAGATCCTTAGCCTTAGGCGAAACCGACTGAAAAACCCTCGGTGGGAACCTGAGATTCGCCCTCAACACGGCGTCGAAGATCTCCACCGCCGTCTCCCCGTAAAACGGCGGGAACCCGGCGAGCATTATGTACAAAACCACACCAGCGCTCCACACATCCACTTTCTCCCCGTACTCCCACCCAGACAAGACCTCCGGCGCGACGTAGTACGGCGTCCCCACAATTCCGGTCGCCGCCTCGCCCCCGGCCACCACCTCCGCCGACCCGAAATCCGCCAATTTCACCGAATTCCACGAATCGAACAGCACGTTGTCGGGCTTGATGTCCCTGTGAATCACCCCCTTCCTATGGCAGTGGGAGACGGCCGTCATCAATTGGGCGAGAATGGATCTGGCTTCATTCTCCGCAAAGGCGCCGCCGTTGGCGATGATAAGGGCGTGGAGGTCGGAGTTGGGGCAGAGATCCATCACCATGTGGAGGTGGGAATCGTCCTCGTAGGTGGCGTGGAGCTGGACGAGGTGAGGGTGCGGCGAGACGAGCCCCAGGACCTTGGGCTCGGTGAGGAGGCACTGGGCGTCGAGGGAGTCGCCGGCGGTGAGGGATTTGTCGATCGATTTGACCGCGAAGGAGTCGCCGGAGGAGCGGGAGACGCACTTGAAGACGGTGCCGAAGCGGCCCCGGCCGATCTCCTCGCAGATTTGGTAGTCTCTTTTCAAGGCTTCGCTCATTACTTCACTCTACTCGCTAGTCCCTCTGTGTCTGCCGGTTTTCTGATCTCCTTCGCCAGTATTTATAAAAGAAAATGATAAGGAATGGGGTTTTGGCTCTTTATTTGTTTAATTTTAGAAATATTAATGGTGCTTTTTGGGTGGAAGGTTTTAATTAGCTGATATATGTATTTAATTAAAAGCCGAAGATAAAGGAAATGAGAAGAGAATTTGTGTGTTACGGTAAAGCGGTTTTGATTGATCCGAAGGTATTTTTTTTTGGATATTCCATTTTCCGCACCTGCCTACCTGGGGGGAGGAAGGCGAATGAGAGGCTGACACGTGCAGGGATCTAACGGCCGTTACAACGGTGAACGAAATGAGCGGTTGGATGGGGAACAGGCTGGTTGGTTGTGAGAATTGCGATTTCATTATACCCTTTTCCTTTGTCGTTTTATGGATAGATTAGATGGATTATTTGGTAACGGAAGAAAGCCGGGAAACGGACTTCCGTACGGGTACGGTACTTTGTTAGTTGGTGAGACGTACCGACTACCGTGGGACGTGGGTGAGACTTGAGAGAAGAAGCACCCTATAGCTACGCGCTTGACCGATATTCATATAACCCTTCTAGAACGGTCGACTACTAAATAGTTTTTTTTTTTTTTTTGAATAATCATACTTTCATTCATTCCAACCCAAGTGAAGCTCGCAGTTACAACAAGTTGAGAACAGAAAGCCAATCCGGGTTAAGGGAATTCATTCTACAATTGCGTGCAACCCAATCGGCTTTCTTGTTGTTTTGGCGACCAGTAAAGGAAAGGTGGATCCAAGGAGAGCATCGCAGAATTTTGGTGATAGAGGTCAGTGGCGCAAAACATCGCCAAGGCCACAAAGAAGGGTCACTGTGAACCGCGTCCACCAAAACCTTGCTGTCAGAAAGGATCGATGAAGGGACATGGTCATCCGCTGCCACCTGGCAAGCTGCGAGGATAGCAAGCGCCTCAGCTTCAATTGGGGAAGAACAAAGAATCCTTCCAGCCTTTCCGTCGCACATCTGCCCTTCAGAGTTGGTAATAACCACTCCAAAAGCCGCCTCCTGTGAAACGCTATCAAATGATCCGTCACAGTTAATCCTACGAAGATTGATTGGCGGTGGACAAGATTGAGAGGGAATGACCCCAGGCTGGGGTGAAGGAGAGATAGGGGGAGAGTAGTGAGGTTCCGCCGCATCACGGAAAGCGCAGATCGAGGTTGCCGTTGGGGAGATAACGACACCTTTAAAAATATACTCGTTGCGGGCCTTCCAAATGTTCCAAGCACAGAAAATTTTTTGCCGGATAGAGAGATGAGAATCTTGATCACGCATGGAGAAGATCCATTGGGAAAAGTTCTGCGGAGAGGTGAGAGATGGGACGACTCTTCCCCATGTAGCCAATGCATGGGGGCAAAGAAAAAGACAATGAATCAAGGATTCTTCCTCCGCGTTGCATAATTGGCATCTCGGACAAGGAGAACACCTCCGTTTGAAGAGGTTGAGGCTGGTAGCAAGGGCATTGCGGATACCTCTCCACATGAAAAAGCGGATCTTTGGAGGGAGCTTCAGGGACCAAAGCCATTTCCAATTATCCTCCGAGGCAGGCATGTTGAGATCATGATGTTGCAGATGATTTGACTGCTCCCTTCGATGCATCTGTATCCCGTGATAAGCAGAACGAACAGAGAATGACCCATCAGGGGTGAATTTCCATGCCCACTTGTCGTCTGTACCTTCCGGGCCAATATGGATACGTGAAATGGCCTCAGTTTCTTCCATTGTGCAGTGCCTTCGAAGAAGATTGAAGTCCCAACTTCTGCCGTCTTCATTCATCCAATCACAAACACGAGATGGAGGGTCCAAACGAGAAGAGATCTTGTGTCCTTGGCCGTGGAGAGGATGGACCCATGGATCACTATGGGACCACGTGGTTTCCCCTGTTCCAATTACCCGAATGATGCCTAGATCAAGAGCTTTCCTGGCGTCACAGAAACTGGCCCAGATCCAAGATGGGGAGCTGCCTTTGGTTGCTGAGGAGAAGGTACCGTTTGGGAAGTAAAGACCACACATCAAACGTGCCCAAAGGGACTGTGGCTCGTTGATCAGTCTCCAACCCTGTTTGGCCAACAAAGATAAATTAAAGTCTCGAAAATTTCGAAAACCCAACCCGCCATTCATTTCAGAGTCATTGAGCACTTCCCCTTTTCGCCAAGGAATGGATCGCTTTTTCATAGAGCCGGACCAAAAAAAACTGTGAAGAAGGGAATCCATTTTCTTGGTGAGGGAAGTAGGAAGGAGGAAGACGCTCATGATGAAGGTTGGGATTGCTTGAATAACGGCCTTGAGCAAGGTTTCCTTTCCTCCGTGAGAAAGGGTGAGACTTTTCCAAGAATCTCCTTTCTTTTCCATTCTCTCAATGAGAAAAGCAAAGGTCTCCTTCTTAGATCTTCCCCATTCCGTCGGGACTCCCAGATATTTGTCGTGACAAATGGCCGAGGGGAAGCCGATTCGATTAGTGATGTTGTTTCTGAGATCCTCCGGGGAGTTTTTGCTGAAGAAGACTGAGGATTTATCGATGTTGACCTCTTGGCCGGTTAAGGATTTGTATGTGTTAATGATCTTCATAATCTCTTCAGCCTCCTCCATAGATGCTCTCCCAAAAATAACAGTATCATCTGCAAACAAGCAGTGAGAAATCCGTGGACAATTAGGTTTGATCTTGATACCATGGATGGTCCCTTGGGAGACACCCTTATCCAGCAAAAAGGAGAGAGCATTCGACATAAGAATGAATAAGAAAGGTGAGAGAAGGTCTCCCTGTCGTATGCCTCTTGATGGAGAGAAGAACTCGGTCGGGCTCCCATTGACCAAGATGGAGAATCGAACAGTTCGGACACATTCTTTAATCCATTCGCACCAAGAGCGGTTGAACCCATAGGCAATGAGCAAGGAATCAAGGCAGTTCCAATCCACCAAGTCGAAGGCCTTTCTCATGTCCATTTTGAGCATCAAGTCAAATCTCTTCCCTTGACGTCGGTTCTTAAAATGATGAAGAACCTCGTGCACTATAGTGATATTGTCCTGAATCAAACGGCCACCGGTGAATGCTGCTTGCATTTCCGAGACAAGGCAAGGCATGAATTTCTTGATCCTGGTCGACATGATTTTAGAAACCACCTTGTACTTGAAGTTACAACAGCTGATAGGTCTGAATTGGCTAGCTTTCTTCTGAGATGGGATCTTTGGGATAAGGGCAATGTGTGTATCATTCCATCCCTGAGGGAGAGTAGCCGTGGAAAAGAAAGATTGCACCTCCTTACAAAGATCTTCTCCAACCGTACTCCAATACTTCCTGAAAAAGACACCCGTGAAGCCGTCTGGTCCTGGAGATTTGTGAGGCCCCAAAGAGAAGACAGCTTGTTTAACCTCTTCCCTTGTAACTGGTTTAGTGAGCTTCAAGTTCATGCTATCTGTTACAAGTCGGGGAAAATCAGCTAGAATATCATTATCAAACTCGATCTCCTTTGCTGTGAAAAGATCCTTGTAAAAGTCATTGATGTGAGCTGCAAGTAGAGTCGGTTGTTTGATCCAGCTTCCATCTTGACCTTTCAATCCGAGGATACGATTGTAGTGTCTTCTGAAAACCGTCGAGTTATGGAAGAAGTTGGTGTTCCGATCACCTTTGGCCAGCCACTGAATTCTGGACAGTTGCCGCCACTTAACTTCTTCATCCCTCCAAATACAATCCAGCTCTTCTAAAAGTTTGGTTTCTTCTTCATGAACCTCCTCTGTTCGAATGGCTTGGGCAAGAAAATCCAGTCGAATTTTGATTTCCCTTTCCTTCTTATATTGGGCTTCATACATTTCCTTGGCCCAAGTTTTTAAATGCTCCTCACACCGTTTTAATCGCTGGTCATGGGATCCCCCTGCAGCCCAAGCATTTAAAATAACTTGATCACAAGCTTCCTTACCAATCCATCTATCATCGAATCGAAAAGGTCTTTTGCTCCAAGGTCCTGGTGAGTGAAGCTCTAGCCGGAGAGCTCGATGGTCCGAACCAACATCGCTCTCATGGAAGAGAGTACTTTCTTCAAAAAGTCCTCGCCAAGAGGGGGAGCAGAGGGCTCGATCGAGACGGCATTTAATGTTCCGGTCACCTCTTCTTTTGTTTGTCCAAGTAAAGTGTGGTCCCTTGAATCCCATATCAATAAGTCCATTGTTGAAAATGAAGTTCTTGAAGGGATCAACGGATTCTCGTCTCAACGGGCCTCCTCCACACTTTTCGTAGTCAAATAACATTGCATTAAGATCACCAATAACAACCCATGGCACATTGACATCACTTCTAAAACTAGAAAGCCTATCCCAAAACGCCCTCCTCTCACTAGGGACGGAGGGGGCGTGAACAAAAGTCATGAAGAAACCCCCACCATAATTAATAAAAACATCAAAAAAATTCCGTCCGCGATCCAAAATTTGGATAGGGAAGCCTGCTGTCCACCAGAGAGCTAAGCCACCGGCTGTCCCTTCCGGGTTGACATATTCACCCTTGAAAAAGTTGTTGCTGATCCTTTTTTGCGCCATAGTCTCTTCAGTATTCATAGTTTCCATAAGAAAAACTAAAGAGGGGCGACACCTCCTTACCATCCGTCGAAGGTGATTTTCTGTCCGGGTTTGCCCAATTCCCCGGCAGTTCCAGCTTATGTAACTCATTTCTCTCTTGGTGGCTTAGAGCTGGCCACCTTCGCTTCAGAATTAGAATGCAACAGCTGCTTCCCCTGCTCTTTCTCTTCATGACATTCTTCTTTTCCATCTCCAGCAATTGACTTCATTTTGCGACCCTTCACTTTTATTCTAGCATTTCTCGGCCTGCTTGAATCATCACCAGGAGAGAAATAAGGTCCACCAAAGTCCAAGGGCTGGCCATGCTTTCTTTTTTTAAGTTCAGCCTGGCCTTCCTCTGTTAAATCGGTTGGCAGAGGGAACCCATATTCATTGGGCCTTCTGTTAAGGTCCATTTTCTTTCCCAAATCCTCCACCATCTGAGAGACGTTTGGATGGTTTCCTTGAGCTTGTTGGGCTTGGAGATGGAGTTGTGATTGATAAATGGAGGCTTGCATTTGGG